GGCCATCTTTTAAACTAATTAAGTGGCCTAAGATTAACCTGTGGGGAGTGGTAAATTACTAACATTGGACTTATCAATAATCCATACACACTTTATATATCTTCCTAATGGTATTTTGTATTAGTAAGGTGCTTCGTGGTTTTTAAAAACATTTTCTCAGTGTATCATCTGATGCTCAAACAATGCATTCACTGAAGCAGGCGCAACCTCCAACCAGTAAGGTCCTCAGATGGGCTGCCTGAGGGGCTCCATATGCGCTGGGTTTAATTAGCAAAATGGTCTGGGTACTGAATCACCACTTACTGCAAGTTTTCTAAGAAATAAGCTCCAAACACCTGCCTCAAAAGTTTGACTTTTGACAGATAACAACGCTATCTATCTGTAAGGTACAATCTAGTATACACCACATCACAAATGTTTACTTTGTCCTTTATGTGGTATTTTAGAAAAGTACTTTACAGCATATAGTAACATATGTATTTACAGTTTTAGGGTTTGTCTCTCCCAGAAATCCTATACAACATACAAACCCAAGAAGTAAGAAGTGAGTGGACAATTTCCCAATGCTATTGGGGAAAAAAAAAAGAGTTTGTTTTAGAACACTTCAAGTAAGCTATTGGATTCTTAAGCTTTTTTCCTAAGCATCAGTATAGAAACTTAAAATCTGGATGAATATTCTGCTGTACCTTCTGGTAATCTAGTCTTTTCTTATTTAAATAAAGACCAAATGTTTTCTAAGCATTTAGTTTTACTAACATATCATAAGTGCATTCACTCTACAGGGAAAAAAAAAAGTTTTATTTATTTAAGTAATCTGCGCCCAATGTGGGGCTTTAACTCATCACCCAAGATCAAAAATCACATGTATCTCAATCAGATGCCACTCGGGGCACCAGCCAGGTACCCCCCAAAATGCCTTTTTTTGCTCAGAAATCTCCATACGCCTGTCACAGTATGTTCCCATGAGGTACAGAACAGGGAGTGGAGTTTACCTGGCAGCCTTGACAATAATTTCCAAGAAGAGAAATGTATTAAAGAAATAAAAAATGGCCCAACTACAGATTAATGTTAAGTAATGTTGAATGATCACAACTGTATTGTTTTCCAAGTACATTCTGATGGTCAAGAACGTAACGGTGTTCTAAGAGTACCCGAGCCACCCAGAGGCACAGATGTGTCCCATGGGAAAGGACAGTTACTGCCCTCCGTGAAATTTACCTAAAATATGGTCGAAGTATTTCACATACACAGAAACATATTACAGATTTAGTACTTACGAATTGCTAAATTTTTCCTTAACCTGTTTCTATTTCCAATGTGGAGCTTCCCTTAGAATTATGTCTCATTTAATTATTACCACCACCAAATTTGCTTTGGTTTCATCTAAAATGGTCATTCAAGTGGTACTCGTGTTCCAGGATTTATATATATTTGGTATTTTCATAACCTTGTACTAACTGCATTATTTCTTTTAAAATAGAAAAATTAAAATACATATAGTGTTCTAAGTGGGATCTGATAAATGCTGAGCAGAAGAGTAATTAATTTTTGACTTTCACATGTATACTCCTCTAGCTTACGCTGAAAAAAACTAGCAACAGTACCAACTTGCCCAGCTACACCATAATCACCAGGTAATCATTTCAATTAAATTTTCTAAGACTGAGAGAGCGCTTTATTAAAAAAAAAAAAAAAGCCAGCTGGGGCTAAGAAGAAACAAATACTTTCTACATAATATGAAACAAAATTGCATCATATGGCTTAATAGAAAGGTTCTGGATAAATTATGCTTAATTGCAGGAAAAAAATACATTAATTAATAGTTATTAAAATCTGCCTATGGATGAAGATAAGGCAACATTAAGCAAAGCTACTATTTTTCAGTGAACTTGACAGTCTCCTGAGCACTTTTGCTTTTCCTCTGGGCACCCATTCCCCACTTTAACCAGTCAGTGCTGTTCAGTTTTTCTTACCAGCCTCCCCACATTAAAAGAAAAAGAGAGGGGCGCCTGGGTGGCTCAGTGGGTTAAAGCCTCTGCCTTCGGCTCAGGTCATGATCCCAGGGTTCTGGGATCGAGCCCTGCGTCGGGCTCTCTGCTCAGCGGGGAGGCCTGCTTCCTCTCTCTCTCTCTGCCTGCCTCTCTGCCTACTTGTGATCTCTGCCTGTCAAATAAATAAAAAGAAATTAAATAAATAAATAAATAAAAATAAAAGAGAAAGAGATTTGACCTCATTTATATTATTCATATTTGTGTATATATGATTTCTAATGTTGCATTTTAAATCTCTTATTCTAATTGGAAACATCTCATCCTTGTTTAAAGTTTTAAAAATATAACCAAACAACTGGAGAGTTTGAACCAAAAAACCAATCTCTCTGAGAATGGGAAATAAAAAAAATGGGTGAGGAGTACCATGTTTGTTTAAATTTATTTTAATTTCAATGGTGCTATTCCTACCAGGAAAAATCTAAGATAAGCAATAAATAGTTTATTTTGGGATTGAGAAAACTGGAGGTAGGGGGAAGCACCCCCCAAAGCCCAACTAAACCAAACAACAATCCTTTCTTCCCTATCTTCCAGGGTGTCCAGATGGCCTAGAACAGTATAGGAGGGGACCGAGTCAAAGTGTGGGTGATAGGGATTTATCCCTGGGAGCTGCCACAGTCACAGCCCACATCCCTTCTCACAAACTTCTTGCAAACCCTCAAAACGATCCTAATGCCAAGACACCTCTTTCTCTCTGGCCCCTTTCATTTCCCCTCCCTTTTCCATCTGAACACAAGTCCTTTCCTTTTCCAAACATTGGTTAGACAACAAACTCTTCTTATTAAATTTCTGTGAAGAAGAGTTTATCTCTTTACCTGTCCCAAGTCTCCTAGGAAGTGTGTGTGTATGTGAGTATGTATATATAAATAAATAAGTGGGCATAATGTGTACTATCATTAATATTTTAGGATATGATTCTACATCGTGATTTAATCTTTGCTAATCTAATATTTTAGAATTTTCTTCATTATTTCTATGTCTAATAATAAAGTTTCTATAATCAAACATATTGCTCAAAAGCTTCAATTTGATCAGTAGAAGTATTTTTCTGTATCAAACTAACCATTCCACATCTTTTATCTACTATTTGGTTTTGATCTCTAAATCAGGAGTCCTTAATCTTTTTTTAAATCAATCTATTTTGAGACTAGATCAAAAGCTGTGAAACTTCTCTGCAGAGAACTGCAGACGTATACAACATTTTGCACAGAGACTGGGTTAAAAAATTCTCTGAGTTCAGTTGGCAGCTGCACTCATGATGAGCATAACAGAAGCTGAACCACTGTGCTGTACACCTGAAGCTAATGGGACACTGTGTGTCCACTATGCTCAAATTAAAAAAAATTTTAAATTAAAGTAACACCTGATTTTGAAGGCAAAAGAAATATTCTCAGGTCCATCCAGGTTAAGAACCACTGCTTCAAGTGAATTTAAAGACCTTGAACTTACTCCTGTTAAAATAATTTTGTGAAAAGTGGACATTTCTTCAATTTCTTAGATCCCTTATGATTCCATGCATTTTCTTCATCTATAAACTAAAATTGTTTCCTTTTTATTGGTTAAAAAAGAAAGCAGGGTCAACTATAATAAAATGCCTATATCGTTAATGTTCCTTCTGGGTGTGCTGTGCTAGGTAAAGTTATGTATACCCCATGCAAATACAATCGACACGTGTCTTAAACATATACCCAAGAGTTGTATGTTTTGGGCCTGGGCCCCAGAATTGAGTTTCATTTATAGATTACAATTTAAAAATTTACTGAAGGCTAGATAAGTTTCATGGATATGAAAATGAAACTCTTCGTGGAGAAATTCTTGCAGGGCCTAGCATACTGCCTTATCCACAGGAAGTGCTACGTAAGTAAAATGGACAACATACATGGAATGGAGTCCGTGCGGTCACCAAGAATTACTTTCTTACCTTACATGTGACCTTCACAATCTGGCAATGTAAGTCACACAGCGGAACCAAGTGTAATTTGATAGTCATCTCTTTCATATCAAAACCCCAAATTGTAACATTTTAGCTTTAAAACTTTAGTTTCAAATTATTCCAACTCTGTACTTCTATTTGTAAAATTATGATGGTTTACACATATGAAAACATGTACCTATTTACTTTCAATGAGTACGTAATTTGAGTAGTTTTCCTCTTGAGTTGAGGGCTTTTGTGGCACTTGTGATCCTGTGGGGGACCAACTGCTCACTTTGTTTTGTTTTTTTAAGTTAACATATAATATTTGTTTCAAGGTACAGGTCTGGGATTCATCAGTCTTCCACAACACCCACTTCGTAACTAGTTGCCAAGGGTTGAGAACTCTTTGACCAGGAAATTAAGATAAATAGCTCATAAAGCGACCAAGTCTATTCAGGCTTCATCAGTGTGGCACTTTGCTATAAACACCTTTTAAAAAAGCAACCTACATTAAAAAAGTCTCAAGAAGCTGGTACAGAATATTCAGTAAATGTGTTTGCTGTTGTTTATGCAAATGCCATATTAAAATGTTAAATATTAAAACATTAAAATTTTAAAGTGTAAGCGTACCTAAATTCTCAATTTAATCATTTAGAAAATCTTAGGAGACTGCATGATTTAAAAACAAATTCCATTTCTATTAATAAAAATCTACTTAGCCCAAATGAGTATATATATATATATATATATATATATATATATATATATATATATGCTTGATGTTTGCCTTTAAGTACTTCTGCTCAGAGTGTCAAGCAATCAAGTAATGACAGTGCCTCCAGAATGCCATTTTTAGAGACTTTTATCACTCAGTGAAAATAACTACTTCAAATGATATTTTCATATTAAGAAGTCAGCATAAGAATGGTTTTGAGCCAACTATTTTCGCTATTGATTAAAAATGTAATATTAAACCACTGTCCTGAGATAGTACTTTATGTTGGGTATATACTGAGTTACTAACACAGAATTCTTACCTGTAATGTACATGTGTGATGGTTGGTTTCCTGTACCCGAGGATCCAGGTCTGAATATCTATGGGTTCAGCTTTGGGGTAAGCTATAGTTGTATCTATTATCCACTGGAGGCCTTTCGATTTGCTACCTGAGGACACAGCAAAAAACAAGTTAAAATTGGATCAAATTTTTTTTTAAAGATTTTATTTCTTTATTTCATAGACAGGGATCATAAGGAGGCAGAGAGGCCGGCAGAGAGAGAGGGAAGGGAAGCAGGCTCCCTGCTCAGCAGAGAGCCCGATGCGGGGCTTGATCCCAGGACCCTGGGATCATGACCTGAGCTGAAGGCAGAGGCTTAACCCACTGAGCCACCCAGGCACCCCAAAATTGGATCAATTTTTATACCATTTATAAAATATAGTATAAACAAAGCATACTGATGTATCTTCTGCTTTATGAAAACAGGATGAACTCTGGTGTTACTGTTTCATATGATACACTTAGGATGATATCAAGTATTTCCTAATATGAAATGGCTGAATCTCAAACAAATAAGCAAATAACAAAGCACTATTATTTATTGAACATGCACCATTCAAGCATTCAATACAACAGTGCACTGTCAAGGTCTAATTTATATTTTATCACTCATAAAAACTGGCCTATGAAAAAGTCAGAAGCTAAAGTATCACATTACAAAAGTAAAAAAAAAAAAAAAAACAGTTCTCAAAATAAATCCATTCACCAAATACAATACAGTATAATATAAACACCAAGATTTGTGATACCTGGAAGACATTAATAAACACTGGAATAAGGCCCCAAATTAAGCATTTTATTGACATAGGATTGTCAGTTGCTATTCTTATTTAACATAGACAAACAAAAAAAACCCCTCCCACTTTAGCAAGAGTTCTATGCAAATAAAGCAGTAAACCATCCACTCTTTGGTAGGTACAGCAGGTAACTGCAATTATCAAGAGGCTGTGGGGAAGTTCTGTTTACTTTGGTTATTGGCCTCCTGCTTCCATTCCCAGCATGGAGTACAAAGTTGAACAAGAACTGAGAGGGAATCCTCACAGAGAATGCTGAGAGCCAGACTTGGGTGACAGTCTGTCTTTCGTCTGAAGTATTTAAGAGAGCTCTAAAAAAATAAAACCTGTTCTAAAACCTAAGTCTAAATGTGCATTAGGAATCAATGATATTTTACTTGTGTACATCGAATAACTAAAAAGTGACCTTAAGCTTTAAAAAACTTTAGAAATATTCTGAAAGGGAAAGATACCCACAGAAATAGGTTTTAAAAAAATGTTTAAATAACCTACTGCTAAAGGAACAGAGTAAAATGAATGTGTAAAGAAACACATTTAACAAGCTATCAGTGATATACATGCTGAAATGTTTAGGAGTAAAGTATACTGATGTCTGCAACTTATTTGATTATACTAAAAAACAAACAAGATGGACTAATGGATTGATAGAAGGTTAGAAAAAGACAGAATAAAGCAAATACAGTAAAATGTTAATTATAGAATCTAGTTGGTCAGCTAGTGGATATTAACTATAAAATTCTTTCAACTTTTTACATATGCTTGAAAATTTTTATAATAAAATTATTGGGAAAAATCACCAGAGTTCCGTTTAGTATCTATTAAATCATATAATAAACAAAAAAAATACTATCCCTTTTAAAGTTAATCAGACATAACTTTGATACATATATGGATCCTATCCGTGTGTGTGTGTGTGTATATATATATATATTTTTTTTTTAAAGTAGGTTCCCCTCCCAGCGTGGAGCCCAATGTGGGGCCCAACGTGGGCCCCAAACTCACGACTCTGAGATCAAGACCAGAGCCAAGATCAAGTCAAATGCTCAACCTACTGAGCCACCTGGGCCCCCCAGTATATGGATCATATATTAAAAGAGAGACAAGGCACGTTCTGTACTTATATGAAACAGAACACTAAATAGTAAGTATGAACACTAGAGAAAATAAAATACAAAATACCAAAACATCGAGAAGAAAATGGTAAAAGACAAGTGAAACTAGTTTTGGGATATATAACTTTCTAGAACTTCTTGTAATTTTTCCTAAGCAGCTACAATAAAAATTCTAACCAAGTTAAGATAAACAAGAAGCTACTCTGCTTTCATTATAAAAAGAAATTATTTCTCTCCAAGAGAAAAAAACATGTCTTCGTGATTGTGTGATCAATATGACAACAGCCCCTACCCTTGCAATCTAGAACACCACAGGGTATTACTGACTGGGCAGAACTATTTAAAAAGCAGCAGTCTTTATTAGTGCAACTAATCCTATTTGGAAGACCTTTGCCTTCAAGCTTTGGCTTGGCTGACATTGCCACCATGGCTGTCTGAAGCTATTCTGAACTTTCCTTTTCTATTAAAAGACTCTTTCAATTTGTCTTTTTAATAGATGATGAAAGATTAAGAGATGACTGCCAAGCAGCTGCTTAAAAAAAAAAAAACAAATGAAAGGAAAACTCAGTGCAGTCTTACAGGCATTCTCTCTATGTCTGGTCCTAACCATCATTAAAAACACGTATTTCTGAGGGCCAATCCTTTTCATTTTTACTTTAGCTAAAGAATATATATATATTTTTAATAGCAAAATACTACTAAAGGAAACAGGCTTAGTGAGTTTCTTTCGGTTTTTCAATTTATCATTTATTACCCAATTTTACAGTCTCTGTGATAAACTTGTTCAAAACAGTCTTTGTGCTGTTGGTGCAAATTCTGCAAACCTTCCCAGTACACCAGGCTATCTCCAAAACAGTTGCATCTTTGAGTATGGTTTGCTTTTTCTCGCCATAAAAGTAATACATACTCATTATTAAAAAAAAAAAACAAAACAGAAGTATTCAGAAATGGGGGGAGATCATCCATAATGTTACAACTCAGAGAAGCAACCACTGCTGACATTTGGGATCTTTCCTTTCACTCATTTCCCATTGCTTATTGCTGACATATTTGAGCTCACCATGGTTTCACAAGAGTTGTGTGTTCCAGGGGCGCCTGCGTGGTTCAGTGGGTTTAAGCCTCTGCCTTTGGCTCAGGTCATGATCCCAGGGTCCAGGGATCGAGCCCCACATTGGGCTGTCTGCTCAGCGGCGAGCCTGCTTCCTCCTCTTTCTCTCTGCCTGCCTCTCTGCCTACTTGTGATCTCTCTGTCAAATAAGTAAATAAAATCTTTAAAAAAAAAGAGTTGTGTGTTCCTCCCACTCCATTAACATGATAGAGAATAAGCACTTTCCAAGCCATAAAAACTCTCTACAAACATCATTTGTAATGGCTGTGTTGTAGTGTGTTGGATGGATATTTGATAACTTCGGGCCTGTTCTTCCTTCTGGCCATTCCAAATTTTTGCTATTAAAAATAATGCTGTGGGGGCACCTGGGTGGCTCGGTGGATTTAAGCCTCTGCCTTTGGCTCAGGTCATGATCTCAGGGTCCTGGGATCAAGCCCCACATTGGGCCCTCTGCTCGGCGGCGAGCCTGCTTCCCCCTCTCTCTCTGCCTGCCTCTCTGCCTACTTGTGATCTCTGTCTGTCAAATAAATAAATAAAATCTTAAAAAAAAAAAAAAAATGCGGGGCGCCTGGGTGGCTCAATGGGTTAAACCTCCTCCTTCGGCTCAGGTCATGATCTCAGGGTCCTGGGATGGAGCCTGCTCAGCAGGGAGCCTGCTTCCCCATCTCTCTGCCTGCCTCTCTGCCTGCTTGTGATCTCTCTCTGTCAAATAAATAGATAATATCTTTTTAAAAAAAAGCTGTGAAAAAATAATAAATAAATAAATAAATAAAATCAATAAAAGTAATTGTGTGATAAACCTCTTTACCATGTATGTCTGATTATTTCCCTTGGATAAGTATTATTCGTAGTGGAATAATGGAGTCATTCATCAACACTTAAAGACTCTTAATAAACACTTTCAAACTGCATTAAGTTCATACTCTGTATTAAAAACAAACCAAAAAAACTTCCTAGGGCGCCTGGGTGGCTCAGTGGGTTAAGCCTCTGCCTCCAGCTCAGGTCAACTTCTCAGGGTCCTGGGATCCAGTCCCACATCCAGTTCTCTGCTCAGCAGGTAGCCTGCTTCCCCCCACCCCCTGTCTGCCTCTCTGTGTATCTGTGATCTGTCTGTCAAATAAATAAATAAAATCTTAAAAAAAAAAAACTTTCTAGGGGCGCCTGGGTGGCTCAGCGGGTTAAAGCCTCTGCCTTTGGCTCGGGTCATGATCTCGGGGTCGTGGGATCGAGCCCCGCGTCGGGCTCTCTGCTCCGCGGGGAGTCTGCTTCCTCCTCTCTTTGCCTGCCTCTCTGCCTACTTGTGATTTCTATCTGTCAAATAAATAAATAAAATAAATAAAAGCTTTCTAAATTTGATAAATGAAAAAAACATACATTATTACAATTTGCATTTGCAAATCTATGATTAGTTTTTCAAATTAGTGATTTCTATTCCTGTACCATTAACCTAGCAATTCCACTTCTAGGAATCTATACTCCCGACTATACTTCCACAAATATATGAAGATATTTACAGCTTACTGCAGCAGTGGGAATGGCCAGCAGTAAGGGTGGGTGGGGTAAAGGAAAGACACCTTTGTCTTTGTTCATTTTGCATTACTTGAATAAATTATTGTAAGCATGAACTAACTTCTGTAAATAGAAACACTAAAAAATTAAATTTGAACCTTCTCCCTGGGTATTATTTCTGTTTGACAAAAATTATAATTATAAAAAGAATAATAATGTTATCTCCTGGAACTCCAGATAATTCCTGAGTTCCAACAAAAGAGTGCTAAAAGCCATCATACCTAATTCTTTAGCATCTCCTCCTGCTGGACTTCCATTTTCCTGTCGTGCTACAAGCGCACTCAAGATAATGTTTGTTGCCCCAATCCTTGGCAGAGTGACATGTGTAAGAAATGGCAAGTTATTTTTTTTGGCAAACGCTTGACTTGTTTCTCGCCTCTTCCTGAGGAAGCCCCCTTCTGGAAACAAAACAATCCATTTTCGGTCTCTGCTCCTGTAATTCTTTTCTAGGTGCTTTTTGAGAAGAAGAAGCTGCTGGTCACGATGAGATTTTCCCTAAGAAACAGACACACATACAATAAGTATAGGCACATTTGAAATTAAAATGCCACAAAATTAAATAGAAATAACAGCTTCTAAAGTAAAATCCCATTCACAGATCAGAAGAGCGATTTCCCCCCACTCGCTTCCCCCTTTGACTGCGGCGGTAAAAAGAAGTGATTAGCGCTTACAGACATGAGCAAGACAATTGCTCTAATTACCTCTGAGAGTTCATTCATTCATCAGCTCAGTGACTGTTTACTGAGAGCGTGTAACTTGGCAGGCACTGTCCTACACACTGGAGATAGAGAAGTAAGAGACCCTTGTGGAGGTTACTCGAGTAGAAAAGATAGAAAACTAAAAAGTGTAAATTTGGATGGTGATGTGTTAGGAAGAAAATGAGTAAGAGGATAGAGAAGGTCAATGAGGTCAGAGAGAACAGCCCCAAGGAGGTGAACGGGGAGCAATGAGCTGGTAATGTGAAGGAACCAGTCAAGTGGAGAGGAGAGGCAGAGTTCTCCAAGGGACAGAACAAAAAGGAAAAAGGCCCGGAGATGGGAACAAGCGCTACGTATTCAAAGAGCAGTACCAAGGCCAGTGTGGCTGATTTGTGATGAGTGAGGAAGACAGTGGTAGAAGAGGAAACTGCAGAGAGGAAGGGCCTTGAACTTGGTAAGTAGTCTGGGATGAGAAGTCAATGGGTGGTTCTGAACAAGGGAGGGTCATGATCTTATTTACATTAAAAAAAAAATCCGATGGCTCCAGTGACAGCAAGACTCCAGCAGATAAGCCGGCAGACTACTGCAGCCGTCCAGGCAAGGGAGTGTGATGAGATCTGACTATGGTGTATTGATGAGAAGTGGATACACTCAGGAAAGTCTGAAAGTAGAGCAAACAGGGCATTCTAATGGACAGGACCTTAGTGTGAAGGAGAGAGAAGAAAGAAGATGACTTGGATACTGAAACAGGAATCCAGAAAAATTTGTAGGAAAGCCCAAAACCCACAGACAAATATTACAAAGGTTCTTCCTTTCAGTATAGTTGATTCATTAATAATTTTCCAGCCAACACAAATACAGAAGGCCCCGAAATAATCTGTATGCATTCAGTCTTTAAATTACTACAGTGCAAAGCAAGTAAGACATTTATTTTACTGAACCGAACTGATCATGATTAAGCTTTATTTATTAAGTTCCCAAGACTGCATGTAAAACATTTTTATATTCTTGGAAATACCTAGTAGTAAAGTCCAAGAGACTTTCTTTAAAAATGGTAGTTTCTCTCTCTCCCCCACCAATGTTACAGATTTTTATTACTATCTTATTGGGTTCGGAAGGGGAGGAAGGGTTGCTCTTTAGAAACAAACTTGCAATATTTCTGGTAATTTTGAAATACAGTCTTTAAGTATGTAAAACTTTACATTGCAATAAAAAGGAAAATGTTTTGGAGTACATTATTTTCTACGCTTATCTCCTCAAAGTACACTAATCACTTAGTGTAACTTAGTGATGCCTCAGGGTCATCAAACGGTCAATTGTTAAAAGGGTGATAGTTTCCTCATACTCTCCTGATGAAAAGGGCTCTGCTTTCCCTTAGACAGCTAAGCTGCAATGGCTACTTCTACTTATTCCCCTCCTGTGATGCTCTAGAGTATTAATGCTAATTTCTTTGTTATGTTGTTCTAATCACTGTTCGTTCATTTTGTCTCAAGCTTGTGGCCAATCCCCAATGCCACTTCCTCCTGAGGTCCCCACGCAATGCTTGCATTCGTCTTTCTGCTCAGAAGAACCAAGAGTGTTTCCTAGAAACTAGATCATGGGCACAGCATGTGGAAAAGAAAATGTTTTGTACGTAAGTGTCTGGAGTAAAGTATATATGTTTTGTGACACCTACAGTCATCTCAGAAGTTTCTCTACACACTTCCAGCATATTTCTGAACTTGTGGTCTCCGATGAGACTTAATCAGATTCAACAGTTATTCAGTAAGTACTTATATGGACAAGGCTGAAGCTGCTCCATATATAAATACCAGATAAGTGTGGCATTGCCATACGTAAAAACTCTTGCATATCATATTTCAGTTTTTGAGAAAATCAAGCCTGTGATACCAGTGGCATACCAGGGAAATACCGTAATGTAGTGCTGACTTGATAAGAGGGTGTGATTCTTTCTCCTACACTAACTAAACTTGTCCCTAATGCCTGGGACCCATTCTCAATCTACCTTCCTCTATCAAACTCATACTTATTTTTTCTCTAAAGTTTTTCTGAGTTCATAAAAATCTGATGGATTCACTTTTCCTACTATGAATTCCCCAAATATGTTCTTCTATCTACCTACCTACCAGCAATTTAGGTACCTTCTCTATCATGTGATAGTGACTTGTTAGTAAAAATAATGGTGAAAATATAGATGACGAGGGGGCACCTGGGTGGCTCAGCAGGTTAAAGCCTCTGCCTTCAGCTCAGGTCATGATCTCAGGGTCCTGGGATTGAGCCCCGAATCGGACTCTCTGCTCAGCAGGGAGCCTGCTTCCCTCCTCTCTCTCTGCCTGCCTCTCTGCCTACTTGTGATTCTCTCTCTGTCAAATAAATAAATAAAATCTTAAAAAGAAAAAAAGAAAATACAGATGATGATAGTGGTAATCATGATAAAAATGATGAAGAAGGGACCAGGCATTGAGTAATACACTCCAAGTGTATTACTTCATTTAAACCCCACCCTATAACGGCAGTGCCTCTTGTTGTGTTCGGGTACGGTGTTCTCTGTCTAATGGAGGGGTGGTCGACTCCGTACCCTAACAGTTGTCATCTGAAAAATGAGGAAACTTCGAAAGTTTAAATAAGTTGCCTTATTCATATAGCTAAGAAGCAGAAGAGCTGAGAATGGCGTAGTGGCTTGATAAATCTTTACTAAACACTGTACTGTTCAGATGTGAGAAGGAGGGTAGAGATTAGAGTATCTGCAATGTCACCATTTTACTGCTTGGGCACACTCAAACTCAGATCGAAAGAAATGTTTCAGGGAACAAAGATTCAGAGGAAGAGCTCCCTGAGATACTAGAGCTCGCTCTATGTATTATAACTGGTTTGGGCCTATGTTTACAATAAAGGATCAGTGTGATCAGGCTATCACTGTGAGAAAGGAAAACTCATACTCACCTGTCTTATAAAGAAGTCTCCGTGAATCAGAGAAACAATTCCAAAGTTTGTGTACTTAAAAATATGATCCATCAACCACATCATTTGAGCAACAACCTAAAATATTTAAAAGCAAGAAATAATTACATGGTAAGTATTAGAAACCTGCTGTAGTCTAGCCAGGGCTTTAAGTTTTAAATATAATCACCTAAGCATCCTCTTAATTAAGCTATGTATTTTAAATCCAGTGTTTACTTCTATAATTAAAGCACAAAGTCTCCATGAAAAATTACTGATCTTGAGTCCAAGTCTTGAAATCTCAGGTCTCAGGTAATACATATTACTGTGTAACAAATGAAGCTGAATTAACTTCTTAAATCTGGACTTAATGATTCCAAATTTGTTCTACCCTAAACAAAGTCTCTGGTGATTCTTATATAACTTGTAAAATTATTTTGAATCAATAAAATGAAGTTATTGAATGAGGGCTCTAAGTTTAATTAATAAGCACTAAAGCTTTATAAAATGTGACTTTACCTTAATGGCTAAAATATTAAAAATTATAAATTATAAACATAAATGTAAAATTTAAAATTTTATAAAAGTTCAAAAATGTCCAAAATAAAAGAACATTCAAGTTCATTTCATAGAATGATTTATATATGCGATTTTGTTAAGAAGATTTGTTAGTTTATGCAAGGCCGTATTCTTTACCAGCACAGTAATATTCATAGCGCCTCAGTTCTTAAACACAGAAATAGTATCCCTTTTTGATAAGAGTCAGTACTCGTATTAAGAGCAAAAGACTTGGGACGCCTGGATGGCTCAGTCGGTTATGCCGCTGCCTTCAGCTCAGGTCATGATCCCAGAATCCTGGAATGGAGTCCCTCACTGGGCTCCTTGCTCGGCAGGGAGCCTCCTTCTCTCTCTGCCTCTGCCTGCTTGCTCGATCTATCTCTCTCTCTCTCTCTCTCTCTCTCTCTCTCTGACAAATAAATAAATAAATAAAATCTTAAAAAAAAAAAGAGCAAAAGACTTTATTTCAAACAAATTTCAAAATTAAATGTAAAGTGTAAACAGGGATCTAATTAATAAAGTGGGTAATTGTTCCTCCCTGCTGAGGAAATGGCATTCCTTGTTATAATCCTTAAATAAATGCATTAATAGCTACAGCCTCAATCAAAAGAATGCAACAGAGCCCCTTTGGTTTCTATGGGAATAACTTTTGTAAACTTCATCTCGAAGCACCAAATTATATGAATTTACGTAAGAGGAAAAAAATGAGCACTGACATCGCTGGTGCTTTTGCAAAAACATTATAAAAGCTGACAAATAATATAACATTAATGCTTCTGCCTTAATTTTTTAGCATCACTAAATAGTTCAACTACACAACTCCTTCCCCATGAACTCTACTATGTTAAATCATTTTAAAAAATAAAGATATGTGCCCAGTGAAGAAGTCATTCCCCAAGGCAATTAATACAGAATAAAATGATTGCCATCATCTCGTTTTTTTCAGTCTTGTTTTGCTTTGTAATGATGACTGTTTAAGTAAATTGAGATTTGAATTAAAGGGAATTTGCTGAAAAGTGTCCCAAAGAACAAACAAAAAGCAAGTTGCTTTAACCTATAAAATACTTGAGCTTTATACACAGTAGGAGGTTTAGCGGCTATTTATTGATTTCTGGGTTTAAAATACCAACACTAAAGCCACGAGCTTTTATGTTTCACCTTACATTTACAGTGGATTTATCTCTTCAGTTAGAAGGGCCACCTAAAACAATTCATTTCAATAAGACAGCCAAGCTACCTTCTGAGATTTTTATGGGTAATTCCATCTTAGCTTATTTTAGGGGAAATGTTACAAGTCAATAAATGTTTATTATATGTCTAATAAAGTTCTTTTGACAGAAATAAAAATTCTTAGTTTTATCATAATTTGTCATAAAAGGACATGACTGAATTCACAGATACTTATTTTTAAAAGGTACCAGCACATTTGGAAAATACAATTAATCCTTTGTTTCATATTCCTCAAAAGAGGGTCAGTAAACACCAGCTGCCTGAAGCAACTCTCAGTGTTTCATAGATCTGTCACTCCGAGCTCTGTCAGGTAATTCCAAGAAACAGAATTGGCCCACATCAATTATTCTTTATCTGGAAGCATGGGTTTTCTACATATCGAAACATCTAGAGACGATTACATGAAGGACTATGTTCTTTATATCCTTCAGAAAGTATAGTTAAGTCAATGGTTCTCCTGTTCAGAAATCTGTAAGGACAATTTGGGTTGTCACGATGACTAGAGTGGGCTACCAGCATTTAGTGGGTAGCAGGCAGGTATGGAAAACAGCCAGCAATGCCCCAGACAATTCAGGACAAGAGTGCTGTCCTCCCAACGGGCCAACGGACCCCTGCTAACAGGAAAGGCTCCTACAAGAAGTCTCCTGAATTCCAAAAGCTATGTTACACTCACATAGCCATTAAACTAGTATTTTTTTATTTGGCCCACAATTTAGCGTTAGCCTTCTTTCTTTGAATGTACCCACAGAGTATGCAGTAAGTCAAGTGAACATTTTTACTGGTAAATATAAATTAATATTGCCCTATACATATTAGGCAGGAGGGAGAGATTATGGTGCTTCCAGCTTTATACTTCTCAATTATTCTTTTATGAAAGAAGATTTTAAAAAATTCTTTAAGATTCCAAGTTACTCACTAATAACAGATTATAAAAAATGTTTAGTATAACTTATCTGAAAATAAAAACAAAATTACTCTGAACAGAAAAATGAACCTAAGTCAAACTAAGTCAAACTAACAGAAATCTTTTTACAAAAGCAAACAAACAAGACAAATTTTCTTTTATCCACATAATTGGTAAATTTCAGATTACCTAATATTCTAGTTAATATAGTTATCATCCATGCCAAACTTGGGTGAGAATGATTAAGCTGGACATATTTATACTGACCACTGTAATCATTCTTTGAAATTCAAAAACCAATTAAGGACACTGTAAACCTTCAGAAATTTCACTACGAATGTAATGACCATATCATTAAGAATAAAAATTCTCTTTGATGAAAACCATCAAATGTTACATCTCTTTGATGTAAACTAGTCTTTACAAAATTTTAACATCACAAGTAATAAATATTAATATAAGAGCAAATATATTTATACAGTGATATTCTTTTAACAATTCAAGACTCTAAATATAAGATATAAGATAGAATTAATTCCACATTCCAGCAAGATTGTGCCTCTGCTTTTCAGATGGACATGAAAAACAGATTCCACAATAATCAAACATTTTCCTTTACTCTTACCTCATCTTCTGACCCCCACCATGACCTACTGAATCAAAATCTCTAGGATGTAAATATACCAGGCTTAGTCTTGCCTTGGTGCTCTGCCGAGACTGTTTCACTAAAGGCCTTCTTGCTTCACCACTCTAACTAGGTCAAGTTTATGTCCTTTCTCCTCTACAAAGTTTTCAATACCTGTCATACATGGGGAGCTCACCCTCTACTAAACACCTTTCACTTTGCAATTAAGTATTGTTCACTATACTTTCCCTCCACCTACGCTGGACTGTTGGCTCCTTTTAGAGGACAGTGTCTTAAAGGACTGATGTTCAATCCTTAGTCACTGACCATGAGTATGAAGCACTTAATAAACATCTATTGGTTTCATTGCTATTAGGATAAATATGAACTCCACTAATTTATACACTTTCTACTTATTTAGTTTTCTATGAACACAACCTCTTTATCTTCTAAGGTGATAATTCTTTTAATGCTAAAGACTGTATTTATTTTAAACCCACCCCTTTGACAGATGTATTTAGTGATCAACAAAAGTCATATGAAACCAACGGTTCATACATAGCCTAGCAACACCTAACAAAACTGGCCTGATATTTTTCCTTTCAATTTGCTTTGTAAAGGAAATCCAAAATGTTTACCTTTTTTTCTTCTGGCTAAAGATCCTCAAGATCAGCTAATTCACTGACCAACTAGACTCTTCTATCTTAAACAATACTGCTTTTTGTGCCTGTATTTTTCAAACCAGTGACCCACCATTTCACCTCAAGACAGCTCCCAATCTGAACATTTTAACTCTGATCTCTCTAGAGAGATCAGAGTTATCTCCAGAGAGATCTTAACTCTGATCTCTCTGGAGATATCATTCACATTATTTTCCAGTTACTTTTTTGAAAGACCACATTCCTGTCCTGGAGCTGGAATTAGAATTATATATATACATATTTTTTCTTTTGATTTTTCTCCATTTTTTCTTTAAATTTTCTCAATTTTGGAAAAGCATAGATATTCAAGTTTACGTTCCAAACCATAGTAAGATACTCAAACAGATTCTTTATCAACCCCACCCCCCACCCCCCACCCCTGCGCCTGCACCTGCCTTCAGGGTGCTTACCAGGCCTTTGTCCTGGAGGCACATCATCAGAGTACAAACATCCCCTGTTGCCTGATGATTCACCAACATCACTGCTTCATCTTGTGAAACGGCTTTAATATCGTCCCCCCATTCCATCACTGGAAGAACAACAAAGCTGTCACTTTAAAGATTTTACATTACTAGAAACCTTATATTAGACAAACTGGTACACATCAATGATGAGAGATCACTTACCTAAAACTTTAAAAGTTTGAGCTAAGTTTACTTCCTGTAAGTATCAGGCTGTCAATATAATATTTTATAAAGCCCCCAAACATCCATTAAAATGTAAAAATGCTCATCCTTTGACCGAGAAGTTTTACTTCTTAGAAATTTATCCCGCAGAAACATTTGTCCCAACAGGCAAAGACAGATGCGTAAAGGATGTTTATTGGAACTTAAATGTTCACCAACAGGGGAGTCAATAGAAAGTTATGATATCATGGAAGAGTATGAATCCACTGAAAGAATAGAGGGTATCTCTATACACTAACCCAAAAAGGACTTCTTATCAAGAAAATAAAGCAAATCACAAAACAATATATATAGCCTGATTCCACCTTTTTAGTGAAGGAATAAACTTTGTTATTTAATACAGTAAAAAAAAGTCTAGGTGAATGAATTCTAAACTACTGATATTGATCACGATTAGGACGAGCTTTCTAGAGCCCCTCAAATTCTACTTTATAATAAAATGTGAAAACATTCCAAATATATGCAAGTATTTTCATTTTTAAATAAGGAAACTAATGAAGATGTTACACTTATTAAGAACCTCCGGACAAAAAGTCATCATACCAGAACCTATTATGTACACTCTAAGGAAAACAATGGTATCTCCATGTAGTTATGTCTCATTTAACAGTAAATCCACTTCACAGAAAAAAGATAACTGAGCAGCAGTTTTGAGCATCAGGATTCTACAAGTCAAAGCATCCAGGGTTCCTCAAATGTCTGACATGAATTATGAGGGGCTGATTATACGTTAGTATTCACTCCTCTCACGGCTAAAGGGAAAAAAGCCAACCCACCTGCCTGTAATAGTTCTGGATGCAAGAGGCATGGGGAGTTGTAGAGCTCACCTGCTCTGCCTCCCCCAGCCTCCGTCCTTTTCCAGCCATCCTTCACTGTCACCCCAACATAGCAGAGCTCCTCATAAGAGTTCATGTGAGAAAAGGGGTCTGCTAATTGCTTCTTTCTGTTAAAACCCATTTAAGCAAGGCATCTATTCATTGATTTTAAAGACTTTAAAATTTGTATTAAGGAAATTTTCAGCTGGGCTAAACACAGTATTAAGTTGTGGGACCTCTTTGCAAAGTGAGGTATTCTAATCATTACCAACACTCAAATGTTATTACCAACGCTCAAATAGCTTATATGGTATAGGAAATTTTTTATTTTAGTTTCTTTTAAATGAACGCAGCATAAAAGTACACTAAAGGGATATCAAATAATCCTTGAGGAATAGAGGCAGAACCATGGGAGAGAACCCAGCCTGGCCCCTTGAAAAATGCAGCAGCACCAACTTTCCTTCCAGTGGCCTTTCCTTCCCCAAGTTCCAATTCAGCTCAGCTGACAAGCTAACTACTGAAACATATTTAAACAGCTGCTGTGGGGAGTATGAATTGGTACAACAGTTTGGGAAGTCAATTTGGCAATATATATCAAAACTGAGAAATGCAGAAATCTTTTATCCAGAAATTCTACTTCTAGGAATTCAACTTACAGATACACTTATTTATGTGCAGACCGACGCATATGCAAAACTGGTTACCGCAGCCTTATTTGTGAGAGCAAAGAGGAAGGGGTGCCTGGGTGGCGCAGCTGGTTAAGCGGCTGACTCCTGGTTCTGGCTCAGGTCGTGATCTCATGAGTCCCACGTCAGGCTCTACGCCCAGCTTGGAGTCTGCTTAAGATTCTCCCTCTGTTGCATTCTGCCCTTCCCTCCCTCTCATGCCCGCTCTCCAAAATAAATAAATAAATTAATTAAAAAAAAAAAAGGAGGAACGAGGAAAACAACTCAAAAGGAAGACTAGATCAAATTCATAGAAATTGAAAACCAATGGTGGTTTCTAGGAGGGGGACTATTCAATTTGTAGAGCATTTCAGTTTTGCAAGATGAAAAAGTTCTGGAGATTGGTTATACAATAATGAGAATATACTTAATGCTGAACCATACACTTAAAAATGGTTAAGAGGAGGGATGCTTGGGTGGCTTAGTCACTTGACCGATTGACTTTGGTTTCAGCTCACATCATAATCTCATGGGTGGTGGGAACAAGCCCCCCAACCCCCGTGGGGCTCCAGGCTGCTGTGGAGTCTGCTTAAGATTCCCTCTCTCCTTCTTCCTTTGCCCCTGCCCCTGCCCCTGCTCATGTGTGCTCTCTCGCTCTCAAATCAATTTTTAAAAAATCTTTAAAAAATGGTTAAGATGATAAATTTTGTGTTATGTATATTTCACCACAATTAAAAATTTAAAAAGGAGACTAATTATATCTATGTAAAGGAATATTATGTAATCATATAATTTGTATACTAACATGGAACAATATGCTATAAGTAACAAGAGCAAAATGCAGAACACTGTGGCAGGGATGCCACCAATTGGGTTTTAAAAAGGATGGGGGGAGGGGCACCTGGGTGACTCAGCAGGTTAAGTATCCAACCCTTGATTTCCACTCAGATCAATATCTCAGGGTCATGAGACCTTGATTTTAGCTCAGAGCAAGATCTCAGGGTCATGAAATCAAGCCCCACTTCAGGCTTGTGCTGGGCGCTAGGTGTGGAGTCTGCTTAAGATTCTCTCCCTCTGAGGGCGCCTGGGTGGCTGAGTTGATTAAGCAGCTGCCTTTGGTTCAGGTCATGATCCCGGGGTCCTGGGATGGAGCCCTGAGTTGAGATTCCCCGCTCGGCATGGAGTCTGCTTCTCCCTACACCCCTTCCCTCATGCATGCTCTCTCTCTCTAATAAATAAAATCTTTAAAAAAAAAAAAAAAGATTCTCTCCCTTCCTCTCCCTCTGACACCCTGCTCACACCACCTGCTCACCAACCCACCCTCAAAAAATAAAATATAATAAAGTAAAAAGAATGGAGGGAGATATATTTGCTCAACAGAAGTTCCCCCATCATGCCTCTGTTGATAATCCACACATGCAGACAGACAGACACACACACACACACACACACACACATACACAATTCTTTTATTAATTCATTCCTCATTCAGTAAGTCAGCACCAGGCACTACTAGGTGTTGTGGATATAAAATGAAAAAGTCAGTTGCATTTCTATACACTAAAAATAAGACAGAAGAAAGAAAAATTAAGGAGTCAATTCCATTTACAACTGCACCAAAAACTATATGATACGTAGGAATAAACCTAACCAAAGAGGCAAAGAATCTGTACTCAGAAAACTATAAAGTACTCATGAAAGCAATTGAGGAAGACACAGAGAAATGGAAAAACATTCCATGCTCCTGGACTGCAAGAACAAATATTAAAATATCTGTGCTACCTAGAGCAATCTACACATTCAATGCAATCCCTATCAAAATACCATCAATTTTTTTTTTCCACAGAGCTGGAACAAATAACCCTAAAATTTATATGGAACCAGAAAAGACCCCAATAGCCAGAGGAATGTTAAGAAAGAAAACCGAAGCTGGTGGCATCACAATTCCAGAGTTCAAGCTCTATTGCAAAGCTGTAATCAACAAGACAGTATGGTACTGGCACAAAAACAGACATGTAGCTCAAATGGAACAGAAGGGAGAACCCAGAAACAGACCTTCAACTCTATGGTCAACTAATATTTGACAAAGCAGGAAAGAAATGTCCAATGGAAAAAACACAGTCTCTTCAACAAATGGTGTTGGGAAAATTGGACAGCCACATGCAGAAGAATGAAACTGGACCGTTTTCTTATACCACACACAAAAATAGACTCAGAATGGATGAAAGACCTAAATGTGAGATAGGAATCCATCAAAATCCTCAAAGAGAACAGAGGCAGTAACCTCTATGACTTCAGCCACAGCAACTTCTTCCTAGACCTGTCTCCAAAGGCCAGGGAAACAAGGGCAAAAGTGAACTAGTGGGGCTTTATCAAGATAAAAAGCTTTTGCACAGCAAAGGAAACAGTCAATAAAACCAAAAGACAATCCTCAGAATGGGAGAAGATATTTGCAAATGTCTTATCAGATAAAGGGCTAGTACCCAAAATCTACAAAGAACTTAACAAACTCAACACCCAGGAACAAATAATCCAATCAAGAAATGGGTAGAAGACATGGGCAGACATGCCTCCAAAGAAGACATACCAATGGCCAATAGACACATAAAAATATGCTCACCACCACTCGGCATCAGGGAAATAAAAATCAAAATTACAATGAGACACTACCTCACACCAGTCAGAACAGCTAACATTAACAAGTCAGGAAACAACAGATGTTGGTGAGGATGCAGCCCTCCAACACTGTTGGTGGGAATGCAAGCTGGTGCAGCCACTCTGGAAAACAGCATGGAGGTTCCTCAAGAAGTTAAAAATAGAGCTACCCTACGACCCAGCAACTGCACTACTTGGTATTTACCCCAAAGACACAAATGTAGAGATCCGAAGGGCATCTGAACCCCAATGTTTACAGCAGCAATGTCCACAATAGCCAAACTACGGACAAATGAATGGATAAAGAAGATGTGGTATATATATACAATGGAATATTACTCAGCCATCAAAACAAATGAAATCTTGCAATTTGCAACAACATGGATGGAACTAGAGGGTATTATGCTAAGCGAAATAAATTAATCAGAGAAAGACAATTATCATATGAACTCACTCATATGTAGAATTTAAGAAACAAACAAAGGAGGATAGGAGAAGAGAGGAAAAAATAATACGAAATCAGAGAGGGAGACAAACCATGAGAGACTCTTAATCATAGGAAACTAAGGGTTGTTGGGGGGATAGCATAACTGGGAGATGGACATTAAGGAGGACACATAGTGTAATAACCACAGGGTGTTATACAAGACTGATGAATCACTGATCTCTACTTCTGAAACTAATAATATATGTTAATTAACTTAATTT